CCTAGAGACAGAACATGGCAAAAGATGCTGGACAGAACCTGGCTACAGAACTTGGTTGGAGAACCTAGACAGAACCTGGCTGCAGAAGCCGGCTACAGAACCTGGCGACTGAACCTGGCCGGAGAACCTAGCGAGAGAACATGGCTACAGAACCTGGCTGGAGAACCTGGAGAACGTGGCTGGAGAACCTAGCAAGAGAACATGGACACAGAACTTGGCTGGAGATTGTGGCTAGAGATCCTGGCAAGGCTGCTGATCAACTGGACGCTGTCTCCATGTCATTCATTCTTCGCCGACTCCGTCCACACCTTTGGGGACCCCTGGACCTGCTGGGGCTGGACCCCAGCATGAGCCCTCACCCGGAGGCGGGCATCTCCTCCATCCTAGTTCCTCGGAGGCAGGCGATTCTCCCCGGCCTGGGGGAGGGGCCAGGTGCCCACCTTGGTCAAAAAGTAAGAAGGCCTCCTCTTCCCCCTCGAAAATGCTGGGTCGAGAGGAGGGGAGTGGGGGAGCAAGTGGGGAGACCCCTGTGTGGCGTGGCCTCTGGGCCCGGGAGCGGCCAGGACCGACCTCAGGGAGAGAAGGACCTTCGGGGTCGGGAGTGGCAGCACCAAGGTTAACCCAGTGGTCCTGTGTGCAGAGGGGGAAATGGCCAGACATGCAGGAATGTGGGGACTTAGAACAAACCGCAAAGCCCCCGTCTGTGTGTGGCCCCTGTCTCTGTGCAGCCCCCATCCGTGTGCACCCCCATCCGTGTGCGGCCCGCAGTCCCTGGGTGGCTGGAGCGGCCGGCTCCTCCCCGGCCCTAATGTCCTAGGTGGACGGCGGGCCCCCGTGTCAGGCCCTCTCTGAGGGGAGGCCCACAGGACAGCGTGTCCCTCCGTCCTACGTGGTCACCTCGGGGCTCGCTCCGCAGGCACGAAGGAGGTCAGCGCGGGGGTGGACGAGCAGGGCGACATCTACCTGAGCTTCGACTGCCCGGAGATGACTGACGCCTCCCAGTTCACCTGGTGCAAGGCCTACGAGGAGATCGCCGATGAGGACAAGTTCCGGGTGGAGACCGTCGGGGACCAGTAAGTCGCGCCGGCAGGGTGGCCGCGGCCCCTTAGCCACACAGACGAGCAGGAGTCCTGACGCCCGGTCTGCTTGCCCGCAGCTCGAAGCTGTACTTCAAGAACCCGGACAAGGGGGACCTGGGCACCTACGCGGTGTCTGTGAGCGACACGGACGGGGTGTCGTCCAGCTTCGTGCTGGACGAGGCAGGTGAGGTGTGCGGATGTGGGGCTCTTTCGAAGGTGGGCGCTGAGGCCCAGACGACTCGCTTCCCTGGGAAGAGGGGGTGATTGTGGGAGGCGGGGGCAGGGCCATGCAGAGAAGCCCACGTTCACGGGGAAATGACACCCGCTCGGGCTGTCCTCGTCCTCCTGGAACCTGTGAACGGTAGTGGCACTCGGCAGCTTGGGCAGCGGCGGGCACACTAGCGTGGACGTCCTCACATCGGTGCGAGGCCCCCGCAAAGCAAGGGGGCTCCCCTCGTTCCCCCCAATGTGCAGTAATGGGGGACAGAGAAAACACAGGTATATGTCTCCTGTGTGTGAGAGCCTTAATGGCCATAGCGGATGCCTCCCTCGCTCACAGGGAGGAGATGCCAGAAAAGGCGGATGTTCCCTCCTCACCGCGCCCGGGGCAAGGCAGTGGCTTCTGTGGTCGCTGGCAGAGCGCAGAGGCGGTTCGCTCCCGGCCTGGCTCACTCACCGTCCGACCCTCACCCGCTGTTCTTCAGGGAGGGCCAGCTGTACGGTCCTTTTTTTTTTTAAATAAAGTTTTTTAAAATTCATTTCGGAGAGAGGAAGGGAGAGGAAGATAGAAACATCCATGATGAGAGAGAATCATGGATCGACTGCCTCCTGCACACCCCACACTGGGGATGAGCCCACATGTGTTCTGACCGGGAATCGAACCGTGACCTCCTGGGTCATAGGTCGGTGCTCGACCACTGAGCCAGGCCTGCCGGGCAGGGTGCCATTTCTGTAAGAGCCGTCAGGGAGGTGGGCGAACGGGCAGCAGTGGGCAGAGCCCTCGGGTCTCCACAGCTCTGAGACCCAGGTCTGGGCCGAGTGCCCGCCCTCTGGCCGCTTCCTGGAGCACGAGGCCCCCTCAGTAGCCGCATCCTGGTTGGCGGTGCTCAGAGCGTGACCCCAGGAGGCCTGACCCAGGATGGGTGCGGGGAGAGGGGCGCGCGGGAGGGGGCAGGCCACCGTCCAGGGCGGGAGGCAGCATCTGGTGGCCGCAGCACTGCAGGGAAGGCGGGCGGCTCCTGCAAATGTAACAGGTCTCAGCAGGGTAAGGGGTCCCCTGCCTGCTGTCCGGGGTGCGCTGTGCGCGGTCCCTGGATCCTGCTCTCCAAGCTCCCTCTTCGGACCCCAGCGCAATGGTCTTCAAAGGCCCCCAAAACACCCTTAACGAATCCTGAAAGCACCCCCCTCTGCACCGTTTCAGAGGTGACAGGTGATGTCTGAGCCTGAACTTTAACTCGTTGCCAGGATGACGTTTCCCACACACGTGATAGCGAGCGTGGACGGTACACGTACTTCAGGCGACAGCGGGGCACAGGCTCAGCGCCTTGGTCTGTGGCCGTCCCTACTGAGCCCTGGTCGGGGGTCCGAGCTGTGTCAGGCTGTTTGCTTCCACCAGGAAAAGTCTGGCTTCATCTCTCAGTGCAGATACACGTGCTCGTCCGTGGCTTTGTGACCACGATCTCATTTCTGAATTCCAGTTAGGAAGGG